AGGTCTGCACTGTAAATCTATATTAGTAATATACCTATTCCTTAAGTAATAGTTTGATAATTCCAAGTCGAAACTTCACGTGTCACAACGGAATGAAATTTTTAATCCGGTTTTTCAATTGTCATTTTGTTACCTTCCGGGCATTTTCAGGCTATGATATCAACTGAATCTGATGCTGGAATTCGCCTAATTTTCAAAACATTAATCAAAGTTTACCCATGTTTGCCCACTTTGCACTAAGGTGCATTGTTTGTAATGATGCACGCCTACATGTCTTCTTCTTTCCACCTACAATATTCTTTTTTTTATTCTTCGTTCATAATTTGGTATTGAGAGCCCTTTATTAACGAGGAAGGATCTGTGTGACTCATTTACCACACTGAAAAGAGAACAAAATGAAGAAAAATATAAAGTTTCACCAGAAAAATATCCAGAGAGCAAACTAACAAGGAAGTACTTTGCAGTTTTAATTGCAGCTGACTCACTGATTTCAGAAACGGAATGGAGAAATATTGTAAGAAATACATTTGACCTAGAAGTTACACCAATGTTAATGTCTTGAAGTAGATCTTCACTGCTGGAAGAAGAGTAACATGATGAAAGTTCTGATTATGAGGTACAAATATAATTAAACATTTGAAGGTTAAACAATTGAATAAGCCATTCTTTAATTATAAAATTTGTGTTTTTATTTCCAAAATTCTCGAAAACACTTAAAAATACATTTAGGGAACTTTCCCCCTCTCTGGCCCCAGTGCGTGGCACAAATAGCGAGTGCGCCCCCCCCCCCTTCCCCAAGACCAATCCCACTGTCCGCCTCTTTGGAGTAGGGTCTTTTAGTAGCAACATTGATGTTTCAACATTGATGTATGAAATGATAAAAATTAATGTTTTTTAACATCGCTTTTTCGCGATCTACGTTTTCTTTTCATTGTTTTGTTTCTGAATGAAATATTCTATTGATCAAACTCTTTAAAAGGTGAAATAATATGAAGTACGAAATAACTGATCGTAACACTGTTATTCCAGTGTTGGAACAAAAGGACCGCCGATTGCACTACCTACATCGACCAAACTCTCTCACCCTAGCTCCATGCCCTTGTATTGCCTCATTCTTCATATTCAAATTGCACATTGAGATTAGGTCAACAAATACAAATGGGGCGTAGGGCCTGCCCCTTCTTCTCGTACCATTATTCAGGGAAATGATGAAAAATAAACCTGTTAAAATAATTTTTACTGAATACTAATTTAATGCTAGAGTTGCCTACTCGTATATTGTATTTTAAAACATCTCATTTTGAGAGAAAAGAACACTATCAAGCTGTCTACGCATTTGCCTGTCGTGCGTTGTTGGTAAACCAGCGAACTACCTGGCTGCTAAGATATACGCTACCCTCAAATTTCGTCTCTTCAAATAGTAAATCGGGTACTTTTATTATTTCATTAAACTAAAAATAAGAGAATTTTAGTACATTTTTTTTTAAAAAATGAATCACTATATTTCGTAATTGAAAGTATAATAAAATAAAATTTCATTACAATAATGTTCGCTTAATTTGTAGAATTTATTTTTTCAGGGTAGGCAAGCCTGCCTGCTGCTCTCCAGTGTATTGTTTTTTTTTTTTAAATCTCATTGAGTGGGAGTAGAACACAAGATGGTATTCTACGTATTTGACTGTTTTGAGTTGTTGGTAAACCTGCGAAATACCTGGCTGCTAAGCTTTACGCTAGTTTCATATTTCTACTCACTCTCAAATCGCAAATTGGGTGCTTTAATTAAATATTCCTTTAAACTAAATGCAGAGAATTTCTTTACATTTATGGATAAATTTGAATCAATTAATGTAGTAATTATAAGTTTATTTGAATAAAATTAAATTTCCATATTTATTGGCTGCCTCTTTTGAATTCAATATTCCAGGGTAGGCATTCCTGGCCGTTGCTTACCCATATAGTGTACATTAAAAAATCGCATTATGTGAGAGTAAAACACTATCAGGCTGTCTACGAATTTGACTGTAGTGCTTTGTTGGTACGTCTGCGATCTACGTGGCTGCTATGCTTTACGCTGATCCCAAATTTTGACTTACCTTCAAGTCGCAAATCGGGTGCTTTTTTAATGATTAAACAAAAAAGGCAGAGAATTTCATTGCATTTTTTTATAAATTTGAATCAATATATGTAGTAATACCAAGTATATGTAAATAAAATTAAATTATTACTAATGTTGGCGGCTTTTTTTCAAATTCATATTCCAGTGTTGGCATGCTTGGTCCTTGCCTACACATACATTGTTTTTTTAAATAAACTCATTTTGTAAGACTATAACACTATCAGGCTGTTTCCGAATTTGACTGTAGTGCTTTGTTGGTAAGCGTGCGAACTACCTGGCAGCTATTCTTTACGCTGGTTCCAAATTTCGACTTACATTTAAGTCGCACATCGTGTGCTATTTTAATGCTTAAACAAAAAAAAACAGAGAATTTCATAGCATATTTTATAAATTTTAATCAATATATGTCGTAATTCCTAGTATATGTAAATAATTAAAATTTTACTAATGTTGGCGGCACTTTTTTAATTCATCTTCCAGGGTAGGCACGCCTGGTCTTTGCCTACCCGTAAATTGCATTTAAAAAATCTCATTTTGTAAGATTAGAACACTATCAAGCTGTCTACGAATTTGACTGTAGTGCTTTGTTGGTATACCAGCGAACTATCTGGCTGCTAAGCTTTACGCTAGTCTCTTATAGCTTGCCTATATATAATCTGTATTAAGCTTAGAGCTTGTCCCGGGAAGGGGTTGTCCCATCAGGTGGGAGATACTTGGCTGAGAAAAACCCGCAAGCCTATGAGTAGGTCGCCGCCAGATTTCACCATACAGCAGGGAAAATTTCATCGTCACCTTCCGCGATAAAAGCATGCTCGAAACTTACGAGAAAAATGACCTTAGATTATGACTCGCTCAGAACATGTATCAATCAAATCCTAACCACTCTTAAGCATTAACTTAACGCTCAGCGCCACCAGTGTTATGATTGTAATTTTTTTACCCGCGAAAGGTGACTCGTGTTATTTGGCCAGGAAGTGTATTATTACGGCTCTTGGTCGGAAAATCGAAACGAGTAATATGACTTCCTGATCGAGTAAAAATGCATTATGTCATACAGTGTCCCTTTTTCCATTGCAAAGAACGTAACAAAACCTTAAAGTCCAGCAGAAACTAGCGATTATAAGAGCACTTACTTTTTCGTTTTATTGGTGACTAAATGGTATGCAACAATATTCCAACTTCTAAACTAACAACACTTGAGCTATTTGAACACCTAATATAAGAATAAAAAATATATTTAAAAAACGCGGGAGTTAAAAAAATCACATAATTATTTATTTTTTATTATTTTTTTGTTGTTGAAAATTCAAAGGTTTGAAAATGGCATTTTGCTATTGTTCAATATGCTATTCTGTTACAAAAAGCTTAAAGAAACTACTTGTGCTACACCATATACTTTCTCTGATTATTAGAAACAGTTACGTAATATTGAAATATTGCAATATAAGCGATAACCTGCAATATAAGCGATAAATTGTTGGAAAAGGGCGTGGGGAAGGAAAAAGAAAAAAAAGGGGGGGCATCAACTTCCCCTCATACAACCCTCAGCTGAACGGCCAGGGTTAAACATCATCACAGTTTCAAATTGAATTTCAGGATTTTGCGTAATTACTGAATACTTTCCGTAGTCGAGTAACGCTATCGGATTACCGAGATTGTGAATTTGCTTATCTTTCTTTGTTTTGTAAGTGAATAATTCTTTTTGTTCTCGATGTTCGACAAGTGCCTCACTGCAAACCTTAGCTATCGCTTCTTCCTTATTCGTCTCAAGAATCGTGATATATGACTCTTCGAAAGAGATTGCAGCGACTACGACTCTCAAATCGAACGCTGTCGGTTCACTGAAGAATGAAATGGGGGAAGTCCAGTGCGAAAATGCCCTGCTGCGTCAGCGAACTGTGACGACTGTGACGACGTCGCGTGTTGCACAGTGACAGTGGTTAAATTGCAGGTCAACGTAGATATTATTGTAATTTGTAAGTATTGACGTGCTCTTGTGAAGCGCAAATTCTTGTATTTATTTCTGGCAGATAAATTAGAAAAATGGCTTGGTGTAAATGATTTACTTTGTCCTTAGTAGCTTCATTTTATTTTCCAGTAAAATCAGAAATCTTATCGTTCAGTTTATTTTATTGGAAATTGTGATGTGTCAAAACATAATTCTTTAGTATGCTAGTAGTAGATGTAGTAGTTCATAATTTAAAAGACTACAGGCTTTTGTGGAGGGGCGAAACGTGACCATTCAAAAATGGCTAACTTTTTGATACCTAACATTTGATACCTAATTAACTTTTGTTCATAACAGTTTTGTAAAAATGCACGTACAAAAAGCTTTTTTAAAGTCTTTCCGCTTTAGATATGCGAAATGTTACGGTACTCGAAATAAATTTGAAAGGGGTGCGCGGATAAAGTACTCAGTCATGGCCTGATCAACGAAAGTAAAAAAAAAGAAAACTTAGTTACGGCTTTGCAATGAGTTTGGAAACATTTATCTATGCTCAATTTTTGTTGTTGACAACGAGTTCATGACAATGTCAATGAGTTTGTTTATTGTACAGACGAATGGTGCTTAAACCACTGACGAAAGAACTGGCTTTATCAACCGAATCTTGCAATTCTAATGTACTAGTGTCATAATCGCTCCCTAACATTTCGTTTTTAAAAAAAAAAACGATTATGTTGAAGGACACATATTTTAGTTGAAATCCACGAAGTTGAGTATAAAAAAATAACTGAAAAAACAAATATTCCTTCAATGCAATGTCCTTAAACCTACATTGTTAAAAGTTTAAAATATTCTGTGTGACAAGTTGGGCTATTGTCAACCTACAGCCTGGTTATTTTTCCTACTTAATATATCTGACATGTATTCAGTTCATTCCAGTGTGTTTACCAAGTGTGGATTCATAATGAGACCAATTCTCATAAGTGAGGATGATGATGCTCTATTCAATGCCAATTTTACTCCTCGTGTGGCAGTCACTTACCAGAATCATATCAAAGAAATTCGACGCATGGTGAAACAACAGGTGAGAACTGGAAACACATCCACGTTTATATAATTATTTTTATTAATCTGCTTATTTCACATTAGTTGTTTTTAATGGATTGGGGTTTAATTTTGATATGATACCATATCTGCTAATTACCTCACAATCCAAGCTTCTAAATTCTCAACCATTATCATGGTAAATTGAAAGAAATTGAGAAGAGATGACAATAAACAGACCTGAGGCAACAAAACATAGCATTTGTAATGTTAATAAGAATGTCTAAAAATATTACTATATATGTGTTTATTTTTATATGTGATAATGTATATTATTATATATACTTCAATATTTGAGAAGAAAGAAGCCATGTGACAGTTGGCAAATGAATAAAATCCCATTGTAAAGAAATGTTCACCTATGCTAACAGCCTTGTACAATAAAAGATATTCTAATTCAAATTAATCAACGAGAAAAAAAAATTTAATTCAAATTAAAAAGAGTGCATGGGAGAAAGTATAGTGATTTAATTTTGGATGAGAAGACACATTTTAAGAAAGAAAAAAAAAATTCAGAATGAGGGTATCAGTTCAACTATAAAGTTCATTTTTCTGGAATCAGCCATTTTACTGTATTGAGAAAAAATGTGCCATACCAAACACTTAAGGTAATATATTTCTGAAATTTAAAATATTTAATTTTTTAGGGTGTTGGGTTTTGGATTCGTTTCATCACATCTTTTCGATCACATAATGAGCGGCATCGTTTAATGGATGGAATAGTCTTTCCTAGAGCAGAAGCTGTGTTTGTGGATATGTTGCATCTCCTTACATGCAGGGACAAGTGAGTAGAATTTTATATACTATTGATATTTTTTAATTATTCAATATTATGTTATTTTTCTTTTTGTTTAGTTTAAATGAATTGACAAGACTAGTTGCATCGTTACGTGCTATGCAAGCTGCAATCACTGCGAATGGCAAGTACTGATATTACATTATTATTAAGTTACGTGTTTACCGCGAAACCACAAAGATTTATTTTTATAATTTCCTTTCTTTCTATAATTCCATTTTCCACATCTTGTTATGTATAGTACTTTTTTTTGTTCTTTTTCTCACTTTTCAGATCTATTTATTTATTTTTTATTTACTTACCATAAACCTGTTCTGTTGTAATTTTGTGATTTGTTAACAGTAGCGTGTTGTTGGCTTTATGCTGTAACTTGGTTTTTAAGATCCATAAATAAACAGGATTTCATGTCACATTGATCAAAAAATCAATTCTACTCTTGTTACTGTTGTATCTTTTGTATATTGTTTTTCTAAGTCATTTCTTTGAGTTCACTATGTTGTTTCATATTAAAATTCATGATAAATATGTAACATGCTAGAATATCATATTTTTTGTCAGCCATGAAGTGTGCATTTACAACATAGGTCCCAAAATTCAGAACATTCCTTATGCAAGTTGATATTATTTTTGTTACTCTTTAGAATCAAAGTTTTAAAAAACACAATTTTATTTATGTATGTAGATGTGTGTTTGTTAGTGGAGATCTTCCTTTATTTCTCAGTATCTGAAGTAGGTACTCTGCATTGCTAGATGTTTATTAATCATAATCATTCTACCTTCCATCATCCGCCTTGCTCCTTCCCACCCTGACACGTTTGTTACAATGATCATTGGTACCACTGTTGTTGCTATGGTAGCTGTTAACAGATGTATTGTTACATAATCCTGGCAAATGTTCAGTAACAAATTTGGCTTTTCATTTCTTTGATTCAACAAAGGATTCAGGAGCATTGAATTTACTTGGGTGAATTAGAGTCTGCATCAAAATTATTTCAGCTGTTTTTGAGATTACCTACACAAAAATCATAAAATCAATTGAATTGCTGTTTATATCATGCCTGAGTTTATTAAAGGCAGTTATTTTGAAATCTCTTACAGACACACTTTATTTGATTCATGTATATAGAAAAAAGCCCTCAACCAAATTACATAAATTAGTAAAGTCGTTGCCCTCCTTAAAATTAAATGTTTTGCCCTGTTATTTAGATTCATTTAGTGAGAACTAGCTTCAAATTTAATGACATTTACAGTTTTTGATTGTTGCTAAGAAAATCTTGTCCTTGCAAATGATCTCAAATCTGACTGTTATGAATAAATAAGAGTTTGTGGGATGGTTACTTAAGATTAACATTTCTTACAAATTTTTCACACTCAACAGCACTGATAATTTTTTTTAGAAGTTTACTCTGGTATTAATAAATAAATTTGTCGGCAGTTTTGATGAAATCATTTTCTTTACTATTCCTTTTACTTAAATATCTAAAAAATATTGTTTGACTTGCTGACTCATATCACCATCAAATATGACATTAGGCCTGGGCTGCTCTTGTCTAACACCTAAGAAGTGCCTAAGGCTCTGAAGTAGTTAACAATGTTTGCATGAAATACATGGTTAATTTGTCATAAGACATTGTTTGTTATTGGGCAGTGAGAAAATTTGTTGATAGTGAGAAAGAATAGTTGAGCAATCAACAGTGTATGGCACCAGTATGATGATGGTCACATAACCACATTGACATTCATTTTTCAGTCAGAAAATTAATCCTTAAAAAAATTATTAATTTACAATCAACAAGGGAGTTTGACACTGGTGTGTCCTCTTCCAAGTCTGTTAAACTTATTTTCAAAAAATGTAATGAGAATAGTGAAATAAGATGAAATGTCAACATAGGAACCGGAGGTATTGAATCAACAATATTCATTATGCAGATGCTACACTAATGGCAGACTGCCTCGAAAAGCTAGTAGAGAGTGTGACTTAAAAAAGTCAGAAATCAAGACTGAAGCTGAACTGCAAAAATACCACTTAAATGGCAACAAGACAGAACAACAGAATGAAGATAAATTGTCACAAAATAAAGTCATCAAAATAAAGTTTTTGGGAGTAACAAGAAGAAAACATGAATGTAGGACTAAAGAAATAAATAGAAGAATTATTTTTGTAGCCATGAGATTGTAATAAATTCTCCAAATACCCAGGGTTATCAAAGCAAAGGAGCAACCAAACAGATCTTCTCGAAAGCCAGAACCATCAGAGGAAGGTTAACGTTCTTTAGACGTATTGCTTGTTGATGAGATTCATTGGAGAAGGACCTGATATTAGGATGAATAAATAAAAAATGAAATGTATGATCTAGGAAACAAAGAAGTGAGAAGGAAATGAAGAAATCAAAAAACAAATGTTCTTGCCATGGATAGAAGCAATGAATAGGACACAAAACAGAACAAGATGAAGGTTTATAAGAACATAATGACAAAGAAAGAGACACGAAGACTGGCAACCCAACAAAGAAAGAAAGAAAACTGGCAACTAATTGCTAAGAACCAATCCTATCTTTTGGTGTCAGCTGTTTTGCATGCATTTTGTATTTTATTACCACTAAAATATTTTAAAAAATATTTAATACTTTTTATGTACACCAATAACACAAACAAATACTGCACATGTCCATGACATCTGTACTGTCTCTGCTTTTGTTGCCTGGGTATTTTTAAATGGCTCAGCCTTGCATTTTGAATCATATTGCTCACAGTGTTAAGTGCAATTCTTTTCAAGCAAGGCCAGATTTAACCTTGAAACTTATGACTTGCTTCAGAGAATTACATAAAAATTTTAATCTCAAAAACATTTGTTCCATATTTCAATCTTTGAAAACTGTAAATTTGTATTGAGTTTTCATGATTTAAAAATATTTTTGTATAATGATACTTTGTTTTTTATTGCTTGTTTGTTTCAGATTATCATGTATTGATGGATCCTGTGTTGCGAGTTCTTATGACATGCTACGATAAGGTATTTTTTTCTCTCTTAATTCAGTGTAAAATGAATTGTTTGGGCAGAAAAGGCTTCCTATATTTTATTTAATAAACTACTGGTTTTTCGAATGCATTCTCAGTTTTGATTTCAATGATTTAGCTCATATAATATTTGATTAACCCATGTGATATTTCACAATCTACAATCTAATGTATTTATATTTATCTTTTTTATGATGCCATTTCCTCAGCTTGTAAGCATACGTGATCATGTAAAGGAGAAATTATTTTAACGGATTGGTGATTATACTGTTATTAGGCCTTCTAGCTTCAGTAAAATGCTGCTGAACAAAACCACACAAAATTATTTTCCAAAAAGTAGCATGTCCACTGCTCAAAAACAAATAAAATATTGTTTGGAGAATTCAAATTAAAAATAATTTTGTGAAATAAACAATAATGAGTAAACTAAAATCAGAGATTCAGTAGTAAGGAGGCCCTTAGGCTTTTGAAGAAGGAGGAAACAGCAATTGATTGTGATAAGTGTTCGGGTATTGAAAGGGGGAATGACTTTCAGAAAAGTCAAATGTGAAGAGCGATATTGTGCAGCTATCTTAGTAACCATTTATCTTACTAATGTTATTTACACACATCTAATTTAAATTAACTTAATTTAGAGTAAACTAACACATATTTAGTTATGAAAGAGTTTTAAATATTTGCAAATATTGTCTTCTCATCCACTACTCTATACAACCCTCTGCTATACTTGTAGAGCTACAAATAGTAAGTTACAGTTCTGATTTCTTTTGCAGCCTTTAGATGGGTTACGCCTTTATTTCCGATTTGTTGCTGGCCTGGTGGTAATGTTTCGGCGCTGGAGGCAAGTGGCCTACAAGAGTAGGAAAGATAATGACAGCCACCTACCCTGGGAGCCTCCCTTGCATTGGAAGGAGGTGACCGGTCGTGATTATAGCGAGTGGACGTTTGAAGGCCATTTGCTGTGCATGTATGGCCCCGAACTACCTCACATACTTGGGTTGCCTCCTGGCTTGCTGTGCTGGATGCCTGAGGAACTGGTAACTTCCACATATTATATTTATCCCCCATAAATCACTTACAGTTTTTAGATAGTTGTATTGGTAGCAGTGTGTGTTTGGTTTGCTCGGTTTCGAGAGATATGTTCAGAACCTCAATGAATGGCTTGTGCTTTGTTATTAAAGAGCATTGATCTAGAACATTGTCTTGTTCTTATTAGACATCCTGATACAAATAAGACATAGATTAAAATTAATCAAATCTGATCTAATGCAAAAAGTTACACTTGCAAAACGATTCTTGAGAGTATTTTTCTACCCAATATAATAACACGATTTCTTTACACTATTTACAAGTTCTAAATATGACGTTTAAAAGGTAACTGATAATCAAAAAGTATACCACCTTTAATAACTGGAACTAACTCCAGCTTTACACCATTAAAAAGCATAATTAAAAAATCATTTGACTTTTCCTATAAAATGTCATGACTTTTCATAAAATGGGATTTAAAATGAGTTGTGATCCAATGTATATGCAACTCATTTTAATTTTGCAGAATGCAGAATTGTGGTCATCAAAAAATTTAATTGACAACTTAATTAAATGACAACTTACATCAATAGTATAGATTAAAAAAAAACATATTAAGTTATGATGAAAGACATTAATAGCTATAGCAAATAATCAAAATCCAAATTAGAAACTTATATAACATCTAAAAATGATGAGAATAAAGTTTACTGGTTACCTGCATTTTGTACAACTAGGATGGCCATCTTCCTACTCCCCTAGGGCCACTTTTTTTCATAAATGAAGGAGAGGGTAGCACAACTAATTCCAGGAAATGTGTATATATCAATAAACAAAATTAAAAGAATCTGTACAAGTTATGCAAAATACCATTACATTTTAAGGTTAAGTGACCAACAAATGAAGGATAATAATATTTTATTGTATAAATATATTTTAGTTCCTTTTTTATAATGATCTTTACACAAAAAAACAAGTTAATACTATTAGGTCTATGCCTACAATAATATCAGGTCACAACAGCTTTCTGTGACTTGTGGTAACGAAAATCTTTCTTAAATAATGTGGGAAATCAAATGATTTCAGCAACATTATTAAGCCATGATGTAGTTTGTCAAAAGCTTTTGAAAAATCTATATATATCAGATCAGTCTGCCCATGTTCAGTAAGGAAGGTGGAAATTGAATAAGAGTAAGAAAATAGGTAAAGGTTGATCTGCCCCTGAGAAAGTTTTGTTATTGAGTGGATGTATATGGTTTGAACAATGTATATAACGTGATTTCCATATCTTTGATAAGTTTGATAAAGAGAGATTGTCCTTTATTTCCCTATTAAACCAGAAGCACCTTTATTTAAAAATACACCTTTTAACATACTATTCTTGCAACATTGTTTATTTTCTTAGATTAGAACAATTTACAGGTAAAAACAAATAATGACCCGTTTTACATTCCTGCATGTTTTCATTTGGCTTTTTTAAAATCATTTACTTTCCCAGAAGGCTGGTCACCTTCTGTATCCAGCCATTGCCATGGAAGAAATTGCTGTTGTACAAGATATGAACACGAGAGGCAACAGAAGCAGGAAAAAGTGTCGGCGTCGAAAGGGACGCCAGTTTGAAGAAGGATTCCCGGGGTATGAACCATACCCAGCAAACGTTACACCGACATCAGGAGACTCAGGAGTGTGTCTCCTTGAACAAGGCCAAGACACTATTGCAATGGACCTTATAGAGCCTCAGAATGGTGCTCCCTCTGGTAGCATTGCAGGTCCCTTTCCGAGTGCCATAAAAGAAGAACATCCTACACATGTGATGGAGCCAACTTCCAGTGTAACAAATGAATCAAATTCTGTGGATGTAAATGGGAATCTATCTTCTGATGCACCTCATAATTGTGAAACCTTTGATGACATTAATAAGAATGTTTCCTCGGATAAATGTATGTTGCCTCCTGCAGATGTGTTCCTAGATAATCCACCTTCTCCTAGAAGAAACATGGATAACGTGTGCGTCGATAAAGGAAAAGATAATGAACAGGGAGATGTTAACTTAACTTCTGATGCCTGTATGAAAGATCATGAGGACTACATTGAAGAGAGTTTCACTCCTTGTAAGTATATTAATTCAGTGGTGTTTGGGAAAGGGAGCTTAATAATTTTTTGTGGAGTTGGAGTTTTGTTGCTTCATGCCCTATACACTATCTGTATAAAACATTACTATTAAAAGGTAGTGAATTTAATATTTTTGAAGTATTCTCTGTTTCAATGTTATGAAATTTTATTTTTCTTTTCTTCACATTCATTTTTTTGAATTAACTCCTTTTACCCAAACACTGCAAAATGTAATTATTATTTATGTTCATTTTCTCTAGATTTGCTTTTGTGTATTTGTTTTGGCCATTTGTTTATTTATAATATATAGACATCATTGTCCAATTGACAATTTAATACAATCACCCATGGTTCTAGCAAAAATTTGTTGTAAATGGAGGTGGCCATTAAATAAAGGTTATGAGGTGTAAATAAAATCTAAATGTGCTAATTGCTGTGAAATATCTTCTCTTTAACATTTTCAATTACTATAAATGACAAAATACAATTTAAATAAGGTTTTTAGGATCATTTGCCTCCTCTTCGCTAACATCAAAACTCACCCATGGCTCGTAAATCTTAGTCAAAAAACACGCTTTCAATCCACATAGAAACAAAGAAGCAAACTAAACTCATTCAGAGCAGATTCTCATAGAAGGGGAGTACAAGTTTGCAAACCATTGAAATGCTGTAAAGTGGAAGAAACAAACGTTGCTTCATTGAGAGATATTTATGAAAAATATGTTATGTGGAAGAGAAAGTAATTCCCCTGCGATATAAGAGATTCTGAATGTCATTATTTGAAGTAATCTGATAATGCAACTCATCATAGGAAGATAATCAATCAACAGTGACTTCTTGGCATCTTGTTATATGCGGATCAAAATCACATGAGGTGGCCCCTTAGTAAAGGTCAAAATACAAAATGAGCCTGACTGCTGCTGCTTAGGTTGTAGCTGAGAAGGAATATTTTCACAAGTCATATGTTACAGCAAAAATATGAAATATGGCTTATTCACAAATTAGCCAAGATATGTATGAGTGGTGATGAAAATATCATTTTCAACATCATGAGATGGATTTGCAAACTAGCCATATGGCACTGATTAAAGTAAGGTGATTGAGTTTGAGGAATCTTTTATGCTTGTGAGAAGTATAAAAATATGGTGAATCTATGATAAGGCAGACACGGCACATGCCATGGGTGTCACAAGGGTGCTGTTTAGAATATACCTGCTAAACCACCAACCCTAATTTGAAGTTACCTGACAGGCACAAATTGTATTCTTGCCAGGGGCACCTGAATACCTGATATCTCTCTGCCAAAAGCCCAAACTTTGTCAACCCAACTTGGAAATGCACCATAAATTATTGACTGAGACATGAAGTGAAGTTAGATTTTGTTAGATTGTATTGTGTAAATAGAAACGTGTGACTGATGTAGTGCAACTGGCAACTTCATAGCTTGCCTCTCTCTAGCCTTAGCAACATTCCACCAGCAGTGTCATTGACATTTATCACACAATTTCTGCTATTCATCACTCGCATGTACTTCACCTACCCTAACCGGTCTTGTATAGTCTAATGTGCACATTATCCAATGAAAATGGTGTCAAATCTGTTTTTTTTTTACTTCATACTTAGATAAAGCCTGAAATAACCAGGAAATTCATGAATTAGCCTCAATGAGACATGAGCTGTAACATAGGCCTGTACATAACAAAATTGTACATTTTATTACTGAAAATATACATTTTATTTTTTCATATATTAATATTTTGGTGACCATCACTAGATACATCATATGTTCTTGTTAAAGAAAATCAATTTTCATTTGATTAATAATTTTTGCACATTTCATATATTTTCAACTTTGTACAGACATGAATGATTGTGGTTATTGCATCATGCCAGAAAACTTTTCTGGAGACTGGAAGAAGTGCAATGAAGATCAGTTTGTTCATAATCGTTGTTTTTGCAATCGTTCTTGCCAGTGTAAGTTCTGAATTTCTTTTTAATTTTCTCTACTAATGTATTTACTATCCTGATCATTAGTTTTATATTAGTTTGTTATATTATCTTTTCTCCCTTTTTTTTTAATTTTGTCAAACCACTTTTAGAATTTGATTTGCTCTGAGTTGTGTGACTAAAATAACGAATGAAGAGTTAACACAAATACATTTTCACATGTCGTATTTACAGTTGTAGTGGCAGCCACTTTTTTACTGAAAATTTTCTACTCAATTTAGGATGAGACCTGTTTTTGAGAAAATCAGTTTTGAATTCATAATATTTTATAGTAATTCATGTATATTTTTTATTAAAATTTTTTTATATACTTTGCATGTATAAAAATCTACATGTTTGTAACTGACTATCCCCGTATTTGGACATAGGGAGATTGACATATATATCTATGTATCAATGCCTCTACTCCTAAGATGTGTCCTAAGTACAAAATTAATCTTCAGGGATGTCCTATTACATTTTTGCAGGGTATCCCTGTTCTGTAGCATAGACTGTTACAAGCATTTAAAGGTAGATATCATTATAAAACTATTTTCACATTTAAAATAACAAATTAATTTGCTAGGGTCCAGCTAGTAGGAATTATCTTTCTAAGTCTGAAGCAAGATTTGGTCATGTTTCCCTTTGGAACATGAATATTTTTCTATATTGCTGTTCAGTGACTTCAAAGACAGTTGTAAATCAGTTTGAAGGCCAAAGTGAAAGATGAGTAAATTTCCTAATAAATTACTATCTTAAATTATAATTGGAGACCAAGACTAAATATAAATTTATTGCAGAATCAGGAGTTTAAACTATCATTAGGTCCTATATTGTTAATGGCTGTTATCAATTGTCAAAAAATTACAATCACAGAACGACAGCTTTGAAATTCTTTAAAAAAATAAACTGTGTATTAGTCGAGGATAATTGAAAAGAAAAATGCTATATAAAGAAGTACACAAGGTCAAAAAATTGTTTACACTATATCTATATAATCAAAGTTTCGATCCTTGTTAATTATTTCAGGTCCCTCTTCAGGAAGTCAGGTAAAAATATGAAATGAAAGTCTTAAGATACAAGAGATTCACAGCATTTAAAAGAATAAAATTGGGGTAAGCAAATTTTGAGGGGAACTAACTTCCAATAAAAAGAAACATTGAATCAACATTGTAATATAATAATTAAAAAGTTCACCTGAAATCACTAGTGTCCATCGCAATTAAGTAACTCATACAGCTGGAAATAACTAATAAAAATTTACCAAATTGAAAATTAAAGGAAAGAGTTTGGTCTCCAGATATAGAATTAGTAATCTTCATTCTGATTGGTGTGTAATTGTTCAACTTTTGTGTGAGTTCTCAAAACCAAATGTATTCATTGTCTTTGCATCGTCAAGTGTATTTGAATAATTTTTTAAGGTAAGGAATTGTTGTAAATTAATCATATTGACCAGATTGATAAAAAAATTAAATATTACATTGTTGCTCAGTTCAAAAAAATAATTTGTGAGTGAGATATATATTTTATCTACATTGTTCCTGTTTAGGAATAATGGGAACTTTTTTTAAGCTTTTCTCTCTGGTGCGATTTGCTCAAATTCACAGTTACTCTCTTCAGCATACTTTGCAACTTTGAAAAAACACATCTTAAGTTGGAAGAAATTTGAGACTCCTTTGATTCAATTACTGACATAGCATTAGATGTTAAATTACTTCCAGATGATTGAAATGGAATGGTAACGTGAAACAGAGGTGAGAAGAAGACTATAATGTCAGTTGTGAAGAGAGGCAATTAGAAACACAAGGAAAGTTCAGGAGAGCAAATTACTGTAGAAAAGAAATGAAAAATGCAAGATTTTGGAGAGTAAAAATCAAGAGTTGAGTAAAAATAGAAACCTACTTGAAGTTTTTCCAGAGGAGAAAATACCTGATTTCACATAGAAACATCTGCATCTTGTTAGTCTCTTATGTGTAAGAATTGCGCAGAAAATTTTTGGTAATGTTATTTTAAATGTGACTGTGACAAAAACAAAGTGTTATGCTCTTAAAACAAATCACAAAAATTTTGAATGTGAGGAAGAAGACATTTTAGAAATTAAAAAAAAAAAAAGAAAGAAAAAATTGTGTTCTAAGGACATCACAATATTCACAATGAAAACCTTGTGATCGTAATCAGATAATGTAATTGAACCGTTAGTGGCTAACCAGATGACAGAAATAAATTTGGTAATTTTTAGTTGTGGAATGGAAAGGCAACTTAATGTTTTTAATAAAAAACTGTGATATACATCTTCCCTAATAAGCAAGAAGATTCAGCCAGAAGAAAAAGAAAAATGTACACATTCCACAACCTATCATTTAATGTTTTAATGGGAGGGATGGATTTAGTGGATTGTTATGTTCCTTGTACCCTGCACACAGGATTATGTGACAAAATTACACTGTCCTAATCACATGTGGAGGGAAAACAAATGTTTGTTTTTCACTGAGAGAAATGATTGGACAGTTTGATATCGTGGGTCCAAAAGGAAGTTGGAACTCCTGTATTGTAAATCAACTCTTGTATCAAAAAGGTCTGATCCCCAGAAGGGTGTGGAGGACATCGTATTGTCCCTGTAGAGAAGCAAGTCTTTAGCAGTGAGCAATGGTAACATCAAAATAAAATGTGACATCACTCATCACGTCCTGCTTAGAAGACCTGCATGCTCCCATTATTCCGAAACAGGAACGATCTTTAAAATCAAAATTAAAATTTGAACAAATATTTTGTGAACATGAAGGTGTTATTCATAATCTAAATAGGCAGAAAAAATATAAATAATTTTATTGGGGTTGGATCTTAATGGGTAAAGCACCCAGTAGAACTAACCCTCCAAAAATTGGAATGAATGCATAAGAAATTATCTCTTTGAAGTACAGAAAAGTTTGAAGATGCAAATTGCATGGTTTTAAGGCTACAAAAAGTCAGGCAAGCACACACGCAAACTCACTACATCAAGTGCCTGCACGCAGCCTGCAATACTGGTGTGGAGGTTGCTGATACATGGAAAATGATTTGTTTTTTTCTGGTAAGGCTACTAATGTTAAAAAATAAGCAGAAATTATTAAAAATGCACATGTTTAAGAATGATATAATTTAATCAAGAGTATGATTCTTTTTTTTTTTTTTTTTTTTTTTTTTTTTCAACTAGAAGATAATTTCAATAGTAAGATTGGTTAGTTTGTTTTTAAACTTTTTAGGATGACCATTACATCAGATTACTTGATGGTGTTAGAACTATAATCTCGGGAGTTTTCGGAATAGATAAAACAACATTTTTATCTTCAAGATACCCTTTGCAAAATATTTATGTGTTTAAGATCATAATTACTTCTAGCCTTTAATATATTTTTTCATTTCTTTAAAAAAGAAAATACAAAAGAAAAACAGTATAGGTATGTACAACATACAAATATATAGATCTTGACTGAGCATATATTTTCCGAGTTAATGCATTGTCAATTCAATAATAATAATAATTTTGTAGTAAAAAATTTAGCCAGAGGGAATCGAACATTTTATCAACAATTTTTTCTTTTTAGACATAGACCTGATTTACACACTTCCTTATAACAAACTATTTCGTGAGTTTTATTGAAAGTGCACGTGTGCACAATGGTTGCCTTTATGCAAATGCATGCATTTGCTAAACCTCCTAAAATTATTCGTCAAAAGGCAGCGTGTAATTTGGGTCTTAGACGCAAATTTTGTCTCTCAAGCATAAGAAAATTGATATTTGCGTTAAAAATGATTATGTAGAATGAAAATGAAGTTTGATTTTAGTGAAATTCGTTTTTCTCGAATGAAGGATAAAAGATCGAGATTTATTCCTTTAGTGAATGTCACAGAAATTTTACAACCTTTTTTACCCTTGGTTTAATTTATTAGTATAATGTCATTTCTTCTGTTCTGCAAAGATTTAATCTACTGGCCTATGATCTAGACATGCCCATCTTAGAACACATCTTTTTTTTAGGTGGGGGCGGGGTGATTCTTTGTCAGTGCTCTATACTGTGAGCTTATTTGAAATCAGTCACACTTTATAATTATAGTAAAATGAAACTGATAAAAACTGCAAGTGTTACAAAAATTAACAAACATACCATAACAAAGTATACTATAATGAAATACATAATACATATTCCTTTTCATTTCATGAACTTTGAACAAGTTCAAAACACAACAAAGTAAATAAATCCTTGGGGCATCATTTCTGTTATATCTAAAAATGATGTGTGATTGTTTCCATAATTTGGGAAATAAATTTAAATAATCATGAAGAAGCACCTAACACTGTGGGTCTGTATTAGGACTGAGAATGTTCAAAAGTCACTGCCACTGGACTTTTAGTTCAATGTACGTCAATGTACCTCTGCAGTTTTCAGAATCGGCTCCTCATCTCCAAAACAAACAAACAACTGTGAGTGGAGGAGGACAAGTTGTGTTTGTTTGCCATTCCTATCTGTATTGAACTATTGTGTTAAAGTAAACATATCCACATTTCTCACTAAATTAGAAAAAGTTAATAATTATTGTCAGAACATTCTTAACTGATCATCTTGTAATATTGTTGTGTAATTTTAGTCTCGAAGTTTGTGTTCCTATTTTCCTTATTTTAATATTTCTGCGGCATACATAATTTCAGAGCATACTTTGAGAACCATTAACCTAACATGCTTATCTATAAATTAGTTGAATGTTTTTTATAACATTGGGTTAGTGAATTTATGCATAGGGCAGCAAAATTACAGAGACAGAACTGGATCTTACCCCTGTAAATTATGAAATTTGTTGCAATAGTACTTTTTTATTGTAGCCTTTGACTGGAAGTTCAGACCTCATTCTGAACATTCTGTCTTGACTCGTCTGCGTGAGGCTGGGGCTGGTGATTCTATTGCACAGAATATTCCTTACTATACGTGGACAAACGATTGCCCAACAGGTATGAGGTCACTATTGTACCATAACAAGGTGTGCTCATTTACATTTCAAAATCAGGATGGTTTTTGGAGGTAATAGATGTTAGATGCTCCATTTTCTTTGGAAACATATTTTACCGATCTGAAAAGTTCGTCTGATATAAGTGCTCAACTTTTAACACTAAAAAATAGCACTGTTTAAAAAACTATTAACATAACTATAACTTGTACCCCACCATATTTTTGAAAATCCTATCAGCATATGCCAATTTATGAGAATCTAATATTCTGGTCTGATTTTTATTGCATTTTTTATACTTAAAAAATGGTAGCCTCTTGAATTTGAAAGCCTAAGTCAATTGGAATTATGTTTTGACATCTACAAGATATCAAATTTTCACATACTCTGCAACCTTAACAACTTAGAGTTCAACATTCAAATTTTTAAAAAGTTAATACATTGAAATAATCTGCTTACTTTGCCCCTAGTTGACAAAGATAGTCTGACACTAAGATATATTCACAAGATTCATTATAAATAATGACTTGTGTAAAAAGAATCATTGGAAATTTCAATTTGAAATAATTACAAGAAAATATGAAGCACATATAAAATGATCAAATAGGTAACTTTAGGTTTGCTTTCAATTTGCTTGAAAATTCTTCAAGTTTATGAATATAAAGTTTCAGTATTGTGGATTGTTAAACAAAGAAATTTGTTTATACTTAAAAATCTATGTTTTATCTTAAGTTATGAAAAAGTTATATTTCTTGTGAAATTTCTTTGAGCAAGCTATTTTTGTGCAAGAAGAGTCCCATAAATATTATATTACAAGATGAATGTGATATGTTTTGCTCTTTCTTTTTTGTACATTTTTTTATTCTTGAACACTAATGTGTCCCTCCTCCAAGAGACATGATGTGATATTTAATCATTATCAAAGAAAGGTGTTTTTAACTCTGTCATTTTGTTGCCCAGAGCAGAAATGCAATATTAAAAGTGTCATCTTCACCCTTCTACAAACAAATTAGCAAAAAGAAAACATTCTTTTGAATCTTGCATTAAATTGAAAATTACTTCTTATGAAAATTGTTTCTTGCCAAAAGAAAACCAGTGTTCTCTAAAAAGTGCTTGCCTAAATAGAATGTTATTTTAAGTTGAAATTATTGTTATTGTTCTTTATTGTCCAACATTAGTGAAACATTACTTGCAGACGCATCATCCGAAGGGAAGCGGTCCCAAAAGAGCAATCGTAAAAACATTAATAGTTATTGTAAACAGTAAAAGAAACCCACTATAATCAATTGACATTGGTTGCTCAGATAAGAGTTAAGAAGAGTGTTAGTATTATTTTCGGGTAAATCCCAATAACTTGATATTGATTTGACTTTGAATGGATGTATTTTTCCCTATATGTTATACCTTTTGATCTCATTTACACTAATATAGCTGGCACGGACATGGGTGTGGTGGGTCCAAATGTTGTGTCAGACAGATATCAGTTTGTAGCCTAGAGGAGGAAGGTTTCCCCAGACCCTTACTGTCGCCTCAAAACCTGAATCCTTTTCATATTCATTGACCTTACCCAGTATAACCATAGTGTGTTTTCCGTTATGGGTTGAACTGCTGTGAAATGGCGCTATTTAGGAAAAAACTCTAGGTTACTTCTGGCAGATATGATGTACTTTGAAAATCAAAATGGTCCCAAGGGCTATTTGAGCATGAGATTTTGGGGTCAAGCAAGTTTTATTAAGCTGAATAGGTTGACTCTTTGGAGCAGTTGTGTATCGTAGAGCACCCTAGAAAGATCCTTAGATGCTGGTAGTTGTTAGTTGGTTAGGAAGTCAAAAAGGTACTTACAACACTCCTCATTTCTTAATAGTTGTCACAAGTGCATCTAAAACATATTAAAAGATTGAATTTAATTTAAAAAAAAAAAAATCACTAAAATGTGAGCATTGGAATTGTTTCACAAGTATCTTCTAAAATGCTTTTTTGCTACTAAGTAGGTATTGCTTTAAATACATTTAAGGTGGTTCACATACACACTCCATTTTATCATTGTTAATTATAATTTATTATTCAAAAGATAAAATGTAATACAATCTATGACAATAAATTTAATCTAAGAACATACATTTATGGTATAAGCTCAAACTTTGCGCTTATTGAAGTTAGAAAAAAGTTCCACAAATAGCCAGCAATTATATATTAAGCTACTTTGGTGATGAAGCAGGACTACATCACAATTACTCCTGAACACAAAGGAGATAGAAAAATATTCAGATGAAACAACTTTTCTGTTTACTCTTTCATATGCCACAGTTAAGAGTCAAAGTTTCAGAAACGTTTCTATTTGTTTTAATTTTCTTCATAAATGGAAGATTAATTTATGTGCATGAGCACACCTTGTTTTCGATTCGTATGAGCTAGCATGTTCCTTGATGCAAGTGGTGTAGTGTACATCTTTTGACCAGTAAAAAGATAAAGAAAACTTGTGTGTGACAGATGTGGAGCGGCCTGACTACTTATATGTTTTGGAATCTCAAGGGCCTGGTTTGGTTCAAAGTGGCCAATATACCCACCCAGGAGGACACCCAGTTCTGGAACAAAATTGTGAGATAGATGTAGATTAATTAGCAAATTTTTCTAGTACTGATGCATTCTGAGAAGTTTTGCTTGAGATTTAATTTCAATTATGTGTGAAGTATGTATGATATGCTAATTTCTTGGGAAACGTGTCAAAGTTGCCTGGAGAAATGGATTGAAAATGAAAATAAAAAGAAAAGCTTTTTCTGAAAACAGAAATTAGCCAAATTACTAGTGAAGAAATGTGTGAGGAAATGAACTGGTACTAGAGACTAGATCCATCCATTTAATTTTAAAATTAGTAATTTAATAATGTAAGTGTAGGAGAGTATCAGAAAACTTCTGAACTATTGCAATTTTTGAAATTCTTGAGGTTTTAACAAAAAATGACCTCTGCGACATTACTGATCGAATTTTGCTATATTTGAGCAAAAAATGTAAACAAAAAATTGAGAATGATTTATGAAACAATTTTGTTGACAAATGTCTGTTTTATTTTCGTGATTTTGATAAAATTTACACTAAAACTACTCATATTTACATAAAATGACATTAATTAAAAGTTTATTTTTAAAATAATTTCATTATAAAAATTGTGTCTCAAGGAGAGAGTTAACAATAATTTAAACTTTCATAATTTTCAAAAGTTCAGAGGTTTTACTGGAAATGGACCTGTGCCATTTTTATATGTTTTCTTTCTTCTATTAAAAAAAAAGAAGAAATATTTTATCCAATTTTAAGAAACTGTTGAAAATGTCATTGGGATTTAGGTATTAAAAATTAAAATGTCTGTTTCAAATTCAAGGGGCTGCCACATCAGGCAGATTGATCACAAAATATCAATTTTAGTGAGAATATTATTTGTGGACATGCATGTGTTTTTGGAGAAGGGAATCAACATCAAGGACCCCATTTTGAAAGGTCTGCTGTATACTCTCATGCTTACATGAAATAAGAAAAACTACTTTTTCATGTCAAGTAGCTTTTCAAGCACATACTTTTCTTTATAGTGTTGTCTTTAAAGTTCTTAAGAAAACATATATCAAGTGTCTTTACACTGTGCTTGAAAGAACAATCTTTTAATGGTTGTTTTAATGTATTGTCTGCTAGAGCCTGTAACTTTCATAATTATATGCAGATTAATGTGAGAGAAACTTTGAATGTTATTTAAGTTAATTCAAGAGAAACATTGGAAAACATGAAATTCAAGTCCGACTGAAATACTATATATCACATATCTAATCTGACTGCCACATATATTCTCAATTAAAATGGACTTATATTCTCAATTAAAATTATTTATATTCAATTCAAAATGGAGGACTTGCTGTCACTTCCAATATTAACAATTGCAATAGGTCTACTTGTCAAAGAATTTAATTGCAAATACCATCAATAATCCACCTTTGACCATATAACCATTTTAAGAACTTGAATTATGGGATAAATTAAATTTCTGTTCATAACTTTTTTGAATAGTTATTGATAATTTGCTCATCAAAATTAATATAACAGAAAATATGACTACATCAACCAGCAACTGTGAGAAGAATATTGTTTTAAAGGATAATTTTAAAGAGGCAAAAGATCCAGCCTCAGAGACTTTGCCTTTTCAATCAGTACTTTGAAAGAGAAAGCTGTGGTTGATATTACAAATGAATGAATGAACTTCATGAAATTCAATATCAGACATTTCACCAAAAGCAATTTTGATACAATGTTTATTTAAAAAACTTTGTCTAATAAAATTCTCAAAATAATTGCTAAACAAAACAAAACAAAAAAAGACTATATTAGATGCATTTCTGGATTGTTTATCGGATGTGTGTGCCTACTCTGTTAACTCACATATTCATTTCATCATTGGGCACTAGAAGATTTCTAGATATTATCAAAACAGACTGCTTTTCAAAAAATTACCACAAAAGAATCAAAATTATCTGGTAATTTCTCTTCTATCAATTGTTCAAAAATATTAGAGACATTTCTACGGAGGGTCAATCTGGGCTATTATGATACAGAAATGTAAACTGTTCACCTTATCTTCTATACCGTTTGTAGAAACCACATTTAAAATATACTGAATATGTGAATTTTGTTGCTAAAGAAGTGTACAAAGTGAAAAATATAGCAAGACTTACCGCAACTTTTAAAAATTTCAAACCTGTGTATCAAATTAGCCCTGATGGGGCTAATAAGATACATTGGTGGGTCTAAAGTGATACAGTGTGTGATACATGAGTACTTTTATATCTCAATGAGTTTTTATTGGGGACCAAGGAGCAGCCTGTAGTGAAACACTGTAGGGCCAAATATTTGAACAGTCCCTTTTTTGCTTTTTTATCTTTTGCTATGTCTGAGTTATAAGAGATTGTTTCTGATCAGTCTGAAAGTTCAAAAAGGAAGCTTTAAAACAAAGTTTAAAATACATTGTTCAATTTGGTTTTAATATAAGGAATTATCAAAGAAAAAAATAGTTCATACATCAAAGTATAATAAAAAAGGTAACATGCATATAAAAATTATTGAAATTGTTGAAAGATTTGTTAAAAATCAGCTTCACCCTTCGCTCAAGTTCAGGTTCCACTATTTATTCCACCAAATCTTTTCTTTCAACAAGTGAAATGTCTTCTTCCTCTTTCCAAGAAAAAGTTGTGTCGTTTCCACGTTTGCCTTTGAATCTAGTAAATTTCACCAGCGGCTCACCATCTTCAATGTTTGTGACTTTCAACCATAGTGCAAAATCTTCTTTTAACGAAATTCTGCTACCAACCCACATCCCTGATGTTAAGAGATCTATAAGTTTTTCTTATGTTCTTTGTTTCATAAGTCATTCGTGTTTTCGAATCCCCCCCCCCCCCAATAAAAATATCTGTAACATACTGAGTGCTTTTGCCTATCATGTCATTAATAACATCGAAATACTTTCCCATCTTGTTACTTTAGCACACAAAAACAGAAAACAGCTTCTAACAGTGCTATCACAATTAGTCTCAATTTTTGTGCTGTTTCATATTAGCCCCAACTGACCCTGCAAATAGAAACCATTCTCTGGAAATTTAAAGTGTTTTCAGATTGCCAACACAGATTTATAAAACCAAAATCTTCAGAAACAGACATACTTTCTGTTCTTATAGATGTTGTTTCATCAATGAATCAAAATGAAGCACCTATTGAGATATTTTTAAATCTTTCAAAAACATTTAACAATGTTGATCATAACATTTTTCTGTCAAAATTACCGTTGTATGGAATTTGTGACTTCGCTCTAGATTGGATATCTTCATAACTTACAATATCATCTCAGAAACTAGAAATACTTTACTGGAATAAAACAATATTTGCTCATCTTTGCAAATTATTTCCGAGATGACATGGAGTCCTACAGGGCTCCGTTTTATGCCCTATCCTTTTGTCCCTGTCTTACATGTAAACACTATGCTGTTGGCAATTTCAATCGAAGTATCTTTTGCTGATGTAATGAGAAGCAAGAAGGACAATATCAAATTTTCAAATTGATTTCATAATACATTATTTGTAAATGAGTGGCTGGGGTGGCTCAGGGTATCACTTGATGTCACTGTGGTAATAGTGTTGGAGTCCTTGGCAGTGGCAGGATTTTCAACACTAGCTACATAGCTAGGTCAAAATCAGCTCCTATCTGGAGGAGATTGTAGTAGCCAACTGCTTTGATTGGATGTTTTTGCAACATCTCCAATCAACACCAGGAGAATGCCTGAGCAATACCCTACCAACAGGCCTTGGACCACACGTATTTCTTTCTTTTTCCTTGTCCTATCCTCATACCATACACACTCAATACACTACCACACATGTCGGGAGCTTAGAGCTTGTCTGGTTTGGGGTGGTGCTTTGCTGGTGAGACATATGTGGTAGGGTAATACTCCACTACCTGTTGGTCCCAGATCTTGCAATATACCAGGGAAGATCACCCCCACCTTTTGCGATAAAAACATGTGCTACACTTACAGGACTAATGATTTTAGCCAACATGCCCAGTAATGATCATGAGTCAATTATAAATAAAAGGAAACATTTTAATACATATTTCCATTCCCAATTAACAATTGTATAATTCATTGAAAAGGAATGATGAGTTCCATTAAACATGAATTGGCTGACATTAAAGTACCAAACATTTTGAATTTTTCGAATCAGTCAACCTCAAATGGAACTTCCATTTAAATGAATTGAATTCAAACAAAATTACGTTTGTTATGCTGTGCATTCAGAATTCTTTAAAATTCAGTCGGCCTTTGCACATTTTGTTTTTAAAATGTGATTGTCATGCCTACCTAAGTTATGGAAGGATCTGTGGAAACAGATCGTATAGTTTTCAGACATTTAATTACAAAAAATAATTCTACAAAAAGAAGCAAATCCTATTCACATTATTCCTGTAAGTCTCTGTTCATTAAGCTAATTATCCTATTATTACCTTTCTTCTATGTTAATAAATCAGTGTTTTTTGTCCAAAATGATGTACCCTAGGGTGGGAACATATTTTTATCCAAGTATTGCACCTGTCTATAATTATTGTAACTGGGATTATTAGTAATTAGGGTATGCTGATATTCCCTGCCCTCAGTTTTATCGCTGTTCTTTGGTACCCTGCACCTTAATGAATGTTCATTAGCCTCACATTCAGGTTCATAGCCCCAATGTAGTTTTGTACACACTTGTGACTCAAAGGCCTCTGGGGACACTTGGAACCGTTTAGAATTCAGAGAGGAAAGGTACAGCACAGGTGTACAAGTCATGGTCAGTTGACTGTTTTTTACTCCCACTATCCACAGGTAGACCAAATCACCCTTCTAATACCTGACCATGGTAAGGGAGGGGATGAGAATGAAAAATGATTTCATTAGGTGCTAATTGGTGGTTCACAAGAGCCATGGTCATGGCACTACACATTATGCCCAATCAGACGACTAAAATAATAACACACGGGATCATTCTCATCAGGGTCAGTATCAACAGCTAACTAAGAAAAGTTCACATTGAATATTCTACATTATTTTATACAACAAAATGTCAGATAATAATAAAAAATTACAATCGATACATAAGTTCAAGGGCCAAGTAAAATATTTTCTGCTGTTTAACTGTTTCTATATTACTTAAGACTGTACTGACCATCAAAAACAAACATAGTATTTATTTTAGTAATAATATAAGTGTATTACTTACCGTGTATAGTATAATACTAAAAGATTAAATATGCATTGACAGAAGCATTGAACCTGTTTCAAGCACAATACGTACTTATTGTAAGGTCAGTGACCCCCATCACGATCAGGTTTTTTTGTTCTGTTTCCTTTGGTTCATAATGCAATTGCTGAAATTGTTCCCTGATTTGCTTCTGGACATAAATGAAGCTTCTCTCTTTGCACTTGTTTTCTAGAGCTCAGTGGGGTGCAGGGGAAATGTAGTTATTTTGCGAATAGTACCATCAAGTAGTTATTCTCCTTGTTCTCACAGTAGCAAGTAAATTTCTTCACAAGAGGCACACAGGGATGTGAGTAAATATCAGTAACTTATTTGCCGCTACAATTGGTTTTTATTACACAAGTGAATATTTCTTGTTATTAAATTTTGACAAAAATTCTTGTTGTTTTCCTTATGCATGTTTATGACTTGTAAAAGAACTTTGATCGAGTGGTTTGCATAATGAAATCCATTGACTATTTCCATCTTAATCTGACTTTCACGTTTACTCGACCAGGGAATGACGCAAGTGAATGCTATTGTGATTGTTGCTGTGTTGGCTCTTAGAGCAAGTGGAAGTAAAAAAATAGTTTTTGGTCCCAAATAGGTTACAGTTTATGTGGTCCCAAACTAGAAAATTCTGTAGAATCTAACTCATGGTTGAGATTGGTCCGAGGACAATGACCCTAAATATCAGTGAGAAAACAAAACATTTGAAAAAGACACGTTAAAAACTTACCTTTATTAAGCATGTGCATTTCTGAACTAAACAATCAATTTTATTTTGCCTCCTTTTTGAAGTTTTGACATTTGTGGACTTCCAGGTTTTGCATTTTCGGTTTGAAAAAACGTCACTTTAACTACAGTATTGTTGTGCATTTCTTCATTTATTTACAATTCGGAAATATAAAATAATCAAATGTATAAAGATTTTTTTTAATAAATAAAATGTCCAGAAAAACATGATTAAAGTACTTTAGTAAATACAAACCTTTTAGTTTTCATAAAAGCTGATAGAAATTGTTAGTTTAAGCAGCAAATATTATAATTTGTATTTATCTGTAGATGAGAGATCTTTCTTTCGTAATTGTATATATGATTTCTTAATTGATTTTAAGATTTTGGAAGTTCAAATCAAAATTAGGTTCCAGTCTCTTCAGCTTATACTGCAAAATTTAGGAATAAGAAAATTTGGGGCCAATTTTTAATGTTAATTACATTGGCTCCTTTATAACACCTTTCCCAAGTAATTTGCAAAGTATTATTATTATTGATGGAAAATTGTAAAGTGTTGTTACATTATATAATTTTATAGAAGCAAATTGTGCACTGACAATCAATGTACTTTTGGAATATTGGATGTTTTAAATTGCAACAAAGTGACTCCTCCAAATTCACAGAATTATTTTACAGTAAAATAACAAGTAAAATTTCTCATTAATATTCTCAATTAAGCGAGACAATGATCACTTTCTTTTTTTTAAAAAAAACATAATTTATTACATATTACATATTTTACATTCACATATTTATTACATATTAAACTAGTAATTCAGCTTCCAAGCAAATAACTGAAGAAACTAAAAATAGTATTTCTTTGAACCTGAATCATACTGTTTCATCTGTGCATAAACTTCTCTTAATGTATTTTCCTATGCCAAAGTTGATGCAGAAACTACAACAAAAGGATATAGATCACAAAGTAGCTTGTCATTCTTTTATTCAATTCATTGTTTAATTTTGTACATGTGAGAAATAGTTCACTTCTGAAAGTAACAGTCGTGAATGTTCCTTGGGTTTGCAGATGGACTTCCTTATGACCAGTGCTTACATATCTACAGACGTGATGGTCCACCTCGCATTATGCTTGGTCCTAATAATTTCCGATCTAATTGTCAAATGGAGGAAATGCCTCCGATGGGAAGAGCGGCTGCGTGGATGGAAGGTCCAGGGAACTTCTCACACCCTCCGCCCATGGGTTATTTTGATGCACCAGTAATGGATTACATGGGGCCAGTATCAGACTTAAGAAGGCGTGGGCAGCAGAATCGACGCTTCCGGCAGAAACGTCCTCGACAACCTGTTGGTCTCGCCCCAATAGAAGAATGTTTTGATGCACCCAATATGCGTGAACAAACAAGCTCAGATACCAATACATTTGTGCAAAATGAAGCGTTACCCACTTCTTTTGTTAATCTGAAAAAATCATGGCCAAAGAAGAAACCAGAATTTACAGAAACATCAACAGAATACGTAGTAGAAAATTCAACAAATTCAAAACCATCCGGTACTGATGAAACATTGAATTGTTCAGCATCTCTTGAGACGAATGCCAACTTTTCTACTGATTCTTCTTGTCAAGAACCATGCTCTAAAGGATACGCCCTTGCTGTTTGTGGGCTTCTTAGCAAACACACCGGAAGAACTCCCGAGACTAAGAAAGAAACTTGCAAACAAGAAGAATGCATTAAAGCAGAGACTGCGAATACCAAATCTGTTCCTTATGATAAATCTAACTTCAAAAAATGCAGAGGAAAGTCTGGGAAACAACTGGAGGAGGACTGTAATGACAAATTTGGGAAAATGGCACCTCCAAAAGATATGATGAAGGAAACAGAAAAGGTTAAAAAGATACCTGTGAAGATGGAAAACAGTAGTGTAGCAACTAATGATGTTGTGAAAACTAGACCAACCAAAGGGAAGATGATATGCAAAAGCAATGTCACCAGCGATGCTGGAAAGACAGACAAATCAGGAATAGATTCTGAAACCAATATTCCCTTGCTTTCCTCTTTGGGTAAGGATTCAAAATCTAACATGGAAATTGCCAGGAATAATGCTCCATGTCATGATGAAGAAAGGGTAATGGAGAAGAAGCGAAAATGGAAGAGCGTTTGGACAAGACGTCGAGAAACAGAGATTCACCGTCCAGAAGAGAAATTAACCGCAGAAGGTGATGTTCTAAGAGAAAAAGAAATTAATAGTCATCATGAATCCGATAGAAGAGATGGGGTGCCAGGAAATGTGCCTGATATACTTAAACAAGTTGAAAATTCTGAGTTGAAGTCATTTTGGAAAGAAAATTATGAAGCTCCAAAGCCTCAACGTAAAACAAGACCTAAAAGAGATACAAGATGGAGGCAAGGGAATCAAGAATGTACTTCTCATTTGGATTATAGTCAGAATGCTAAAAAAGAGGATGCTACTCCAGTAGTAACTCCTGTAGTAAAGTTAGATATTGTACCTGCAGTGGAACCAAACGACAGAGAAAACAGTTGTCAGGACAACAATGTACAAGAGCAAACAGTGCAGCAGCCCCCATCAGAAACCTGTGTATCAGAAATTGGTTGGTATGAAGAGACACTAGCTGAGGATAAGGATAGAGAAGATCAGCGAGAAATGGAGGCACCTGAGGCAGCGGAATGTAAAAATGTAAAGAAAAATAAAAATAGAAAATGGAAAAGGAAACAGAGGAATAATAGGAAGGTAAAAGATGAGAAGTCTACTGTGGAAACTGTGATAAAAGAAAACTCAATTGATACTACAGTTGTTAAAGATACTGATAATGAAAAAGAAAATGTCTCAAAAACTTTAGAAGAAGTAATGCAAACAAAATCAAGCAATGGAAATAGTTCAGAAACACTTGCAAGTAGGGTGCAAAAGGATGAAAGTTTGGTAAATGGTTATACTGTTTCAGAAGTGATGGTAGAACAGAGAGATAAGTTATTAACAAACAATCCTGAAAGCACGAGTAGTGAAAGGGAAATTAATGACAAACTTGCAAATAATAATGAAACTCATGATGCTTATGAATTTGACAGTAAAAATGTTAATTGCTGCAAAACAATTCTAGACAACATCTTGCTGGATCTTCCAGAAAATATAGAAGACTCAAGAAAACAGTCGGAAGTGCCATTGACAGAAGAAAAACTAACTAATGTGAAGGATCATGAGGAGAGTGTACAGAGTTGCAGCTCCATTCTGAATGAACTTTTAAACTGTCTTCCAGAACACTCCAATAATAATTTACAGAGTGAAATTGATGAAGAAAAGACAAGCAAAGATAATGACCTAAAGAAAAATGTTGAGAAAGATGATACGCATCATAAGTGTTTGGGTAAGTGAAGCCATTCGTAGTACGCTATTACGTTACATTAAAAATTATTATTCATTCAGTACTTTAACTAAATTGTGGTATAAAAATTTATTAACAGTGATTAATGAAATACTTTTATTAATTTTTTGTACTAGTTTTTATTATTGAATTTGTTAAAAATTTACTAAAGTGATGAGGGAGCTTTTTTCTCTTTTGAGACTGGTGTTTTTAGCGAATTGCTTAACTACGCTTCATGAAGCCATAGAGATAACTCAAGACACCACAGGTTCCTGGATGGGTGAACATCTGAGAGAAAAAATCTGTAAAGTACATCCAAAACATGAACTAGTGTATGGAAATGTAATCAATTACATTTATGAACAAAACCTGTTTTTCTGTAAAAAAAAAAAAAATCAGCACTTTTTCCTGCAGCAATGTATCTATTTCTATACTATGAAGTAAAGATTGCATTAAGGCCAATCTTTCCCCCCCCTTTTTTCCTCTTTCATCAAAAAAGTTTCATTTTTGCAATTTTCGACATTTTAGAGAGAAAAATTGAGCCATTTTTCATACAGTTGAAGCGTCTTGAGTTCAAAACACAATCGGACCAAATACTTTTTACTTTCCCATTAATTATATAGAGAAAGTTTGATTATGGTGTTAAAATAGATTTTGAGATTTCAAGAAATTGATGTTTTGGTGTCTCTTGACCGCAAATAATTTGTTTTGTTTCTTTAAAACATCTGTTCCCTCTGTCTGTGAAGATAACTGGCACCTAAACCATTCATAAGATTTTTTCCAAAATGAAAATTTCTCAATCAATCTGGTGCAACTCAAAGTTGTGTGATTTTAAAAATAATTATTTCAACTCTCTCAATAATTATTTCACCAAGACCCCTGGGACATTTTCCAAATTTTCTTGAACATAGCTCCAAATGTTTTCTATAATTTTCTTGTAAAGAATAGAGTTAAAAATACACAATAGACAGGAATCCTCGTACAACTAAATTTCTAAAGATTTAGATTTTTTTCTTCAAATAATTTTTTTTTAACAATTAATTATTTAAATATATGCCATGTGCGTTTTGTTGAAAATAGTAGTTTTTGCATACTTATGTGTGAACAGGTAATATGGGTAAGCATGAGCTTCAAATAATTTCTTAAGTAGTTTCTTGAAAGCTCAAAATTATTCTGTGAAAATGAGCTCAATTAACGAACAATCAAGCAACATTTTTTTCAAAAAAGAAAAACAAAGTTTTTCTGTGAAAATTTCCTTACAGTATAAGTTTTACTCTTCTATAATATTCCTAAAGTGGTGTTTCTATTCTACTCTTATGGAACTGAAGAATTGAGAAAATGTGAAAAAAAAATTATTTTAGGTTTGTTAGGTAGCAGGTGGAAAGAGGGTGGGCTAAAATGAAATGCTACCTTAGACTAAAGTGATTACAAAATTATTTGATATGGAAATTCTGTGCCATTCTACAGAACCAAGAGTTTTTAGCTTTTGTAAGTGTAGAGCACAGCACTCTGAATTCAACAGAAAGTGTTTTATAAGAGATGACTGAAGTATTTGTAGGATACAAGTCATAATATTGTAATATTACATGACTATTACAAATAATGATAGAAAATATTTGTTGTTGTAGTACCCGATAGATAGAAGAATCTGTAAGCTTGAATTAGAAAGACGTATGTGTGAACTTGTATAAAAGGTGGTTCTGTATTTCATAAATAACTCTTCTGAACCCTTTAAAGTAATTAAATTATATTGTGAATAAAGACAAAATCATTAAAAATTTTGCTTATGATTGAAGACAAAATGATCAAAACCTGTTAATGTAACATTTGTTTGGTACGAACAAAGACTACAATACCATTTATTTATTTAGTGTAATTAATCTGAAAAACTAAATAACGGTCAATTTTTAATAATGAATCATGAAAGACCAGCAGGGTAAAACTTAAATATGTTGATCAAGACTTAAGAAATGTGATACACCTAATTCATGTTGTCCTCTAGATTCAACCATCACTTCCACCCACAAGAACGCCAGATGTATGGCTAAAGAACATGATGCAATTGTTTTACATCGGAAGAGACAAGCATGTCTTGCAAGAACTTTAAAATACTTGACTGCCATCAAATTTAATATTTCTCTTCCAACTAAAAGACATTTTCTTAAATTTTTCTTCATGAATGGAGAGATACTAAAAGCTATAGAAAATCTTCCGAAGAAAGGCATTTTTATTACAGGTGGTTGCAATATTGTGAGCTTTGCATTAGTCTTAAGAACATAGTTATGTGATAAAATAGTATTCGCCAAAATTTCTGAGACCATAAAACAGTATTTCTAAGATCTGACTCGGGTGGTTGAGATCCCAGTGCAGTAGCAATGTCAGACAGAAGAGCTGTGCTTCCGAATGGCGTAGGGCATGGATCTTTGCGCTTCTACTGCGGCTCCTTTCTAACCTCTCCCAAGTCATTTCATCAGCCCGAGTGGAGGGGGGGGGGGGGGGCTTGTGCGCATTGCAACTTGACGGCGCCATCGTCAACGGTGGCTCAGGGCATCGACTGATGTCCCTGCTGTTTCTTTGCTCGGGTGGTCCTAGGGTTCCACTCCTGACTATGGAAGGGGGGGTGTAAGCACTAGCTATATAGCTAGGTCAAATTCAGCAGCTGCTGCGAGGAGAATTCTAGTGGTCGGCGTCTCTCTGATTGGTTGTTTCCCCGATCAACACCCGGTAAAAGCTGGAGTAGAACCCTAACAAACGGACTACGGACCGCACATCTTTCCTCCCTCGCCCTTGTCCTATCCTAATTTCTCTTACTTACACACCCTTTCGTGCACCACTTTAAGGCACATGTTGGGGTTTGAGAGCTTGTCTCGGCTGGGGCCGTGCCCCGCTGGTGGGGGATACTTGGTCAGGGAAAACCCTGCGAGCCGTGTAGGTTTTTGGATCTTGCCATCCAGCGGGGGAAGATCACCGCCACATAAACACCAACTACACTTTTGTGGCTAATGATCTTGCCAGTGGATGTACCCGGAATCAACAATCAGTCGCAGTCTCTAATCCACAGGAGCAGGCACGTGACCCCTACGTGGCTGCAGTCGGCAGGAAGAGCATTGTAAATGACTGCCTTAGGAGTGGTTCCCTCTTTGAAGCTTAGAGGTTCAGGAGTAAAACAGGCATTAAACACACTCGGAGCAAAGCCCAGCCATGCTCAGTGGAGAGTTCAATTTGAACTACCAACATTTATGTCATGTCAAATTGATTTTAATTTGTACATGTATATACCATATACATAATACTCCATAATATAATATTATTATTTTCATTGTATTACAATTTATTTAACTTTTTTTTCAATAACTATGTTCAAATGCTTTGCAGTTGTTTTGTTAAAAGAATGCAACCAAGTTGAGACATGCAGTATGAACTTCAAAGAGTAGAATGCTTAAGACACAACCAATTACACTTTTTGAATATTTTTTCCATTAAATATAACCTCTCGGAATGCTTTGAGAGGAAACTTTCTTCCATTCTCAATCAATTATGTAAAAGGAGACTATATGTTCCATTTTAACACTCATTCTATTGAAAAAAGTCAGCTAAATTTGTTCAATATAAGACTATGTAGCACCATTGGTAGATATAAATTTTCAATGTATAAACCTTCATAATAGGCATAGAAAACCACAAAATGAAGGAGTTGATGCACATTGAAAACTGCAATAACTTTCCGTAGACTTCTCTTTAGAATTGATGGATTAGATCTGTAGTACTAGTTTTGTGGCATTATGTATAACATGTTATATTCTGTGCAATATTTTGGACTTGGTAGTTGATTGTGGAACAGTCATGCTTTTAGTTTGCACTTTAGATTTGTTTTAATGCAAATTGGCACTTTTTCTAATTATTTACCACATATTTACCATGTTTTTGTATAATTTGCTAATTAGTTTTCTTGATTGCGGGTGCTATAGATCCTGGCCACCGTCACTGCTCCGGCCGATCAATTGGAATACCTCAACCCCCTCCATTTGTCCCTAGAAAGAAATGTAAGTGATTTTTCATTTTGTAAGAATAGTGTGTGATGTGTTGATGATTGATCATTTTGGTAGGTCATAACTTTCTATAAAAAATATTACAATTCCACATTACCATGTAAGATTAGCCACAGTAATTTCCGAAAAAGATAGTCATTCTTGGAACAATTTTGATAGTGGATGGCCATCACAAATTTCTATTGTATCTTTACTAATCTTTTCTATATATAATGCAGCTCTGAAATAGCCTTGTTGGTCTATCAGAAATTTGAAATAAAATGAAAATACTGTGTTTAACTTGTTTAACTCAAGATGGAACATCATCAAGATCATTTTGCTGTTATTGGTTGGATGAGTTATGTTAATAATTTGTTTTGACTGCTTTGCTCTTTAAGTTCTTTTTAACATGTGTGATCTTAAGTGCTTAAAAATGTATTTCCTCTATGTAGGAAAGAAAATCACATCATTGCATTTTTATTTACATGTTCTGTATGTCTGCAGTACTTCTCCGACGCTGTGACAACTGCAATATTCTGGAGAAATCTCTTGGAGAGTATGGTGAATGTGTTCGTTGCAAAAAAATTCCGACACGTTTGCCTCGTGTATACTGCAACAGAATGTGTCAGCGTAAGTTTTTAATTTTTGCTTCTGTAAACAATATGCCACACCACTTCAATCGTTAATGAATGTTATATTTCAGTACTACTAGAAAACTAAAAAATTAACAAAATAGATAGATGGCAGCTGGCATGAGGATGTGGCAAGTTCATATAGCTAGCCAAGTTCAAAGGAAATAGAAAACTAATAAGGGAAAGTTTGTGCCATTCTGTAGCACCACTGCTTTATATTGTAATACTACATAATCAAATAATTTTTTTTAACATTGTTCACAATGTTCACATATAAGACAGATCCTTTGTGACGCATAAGGAACATCTTTCAATACATAAAATTGTTGATTGTACATTGATTTGTTGTGTGTATGCAATCCCATGTTGCAAAATCACATTTCATGTTGTTTCTGTCTTCCTTCTGAGTAACACTTCATCTTTGCTGTTCTTTCATCCTGCTTCTCTTGTATTTCCTACCGACAATTCTCCTCTAAAAACTGTGATGTATTATCGAACAGATAATTATTTCAATGATAGTGTTACATCCAGAAGGTTCTCACAAAATTCATAACATGTTAGAAGCTTAGTTGTTGGAAATGAGAGATGAATTTGAAATAAACAACATTAAAAAAACAACAGTGGCTAAGAATGAATTACAAACAAACAAATAAAATGAGGATGAAATGGGTGGTGCAGCAAGCAATTAAAATAATTTTGACAAATAGTTGCATTTTGAATAGCAAAAAGTGTAATCCTAGAGTGATATAAATATTTTCTCAAACTATTCATGGGTTAATTTTTTTTTTTAATTTAATTTAATTTTTTTTACCCAGTTTTAATTTAATAAACATGTATCTGCATGCTGTCCATTTATTGGAATACCAATTGCATCTTTAATGAAAATTTTCTCAATTTTTTCCAAAACATTTCTACTTCTCATTTCACCTCTATGTATTTTCTTAACATCTTTTCATCTGAATGTTGTTTTCTTCCTTACTCTTGATCTTCTCTTTGTTTTTTCAATATAAATAGCATTATTAGTATAGAATTATTACAATATATGGATGTTTCTAGGTGCGGACTGGAAACGTCGACATCGTGCAGAACACAAGCAACAAGATTCGGAAGAAAATCTTGCAGATGACACCAATTGCGCCTTTGTGTGATTCTGTGAATTGTCAGGGCTGAGCACCTGCACACTGTTCAGAGAGAGCCTACTAATAATTTTATCACCAAATTTAACAAGAAGCATTGAAAAATCAGAAATGATGAATTTCTTACCAAATTCAAAAATTTAAAGTGGAAAACAATAGTTCCTTGTTTATAAGCCAGACCAATGCACAATTAATTTACTGTTCTGAAAATATTTTTGCTGTACTTTTATAAATGTTCTGGATACTCTATTCACCAACTTAAGATTCATGTAAATCATTTGTAATACGTAACTTATCTGATGACTAGTGATGACAGTAGTGTTTCGTCAATGGTAGTGAAGTTTATATTTTGTATAATAATTATTTTAATGATACAATTGTGTGGCTCTTAGTGGTAACAAAAATAATGATAGGTTCTTTGAGGTGTCTTTTCTAAACTGTCTTAGATAAGATCAGTATATTATATGAGGAACACGATATCCAAGTAATTTTGTTTTATAGCACAGTATCATAGCAGTTTTGCATGCTACTGGATGATTTTAGAAGAAACAGGTTTACAATCTAGTATTCTTTAAAAACAGTGTATTTATGTCTTTTGAAGAAATTTTTGAACAGTGGTTAAAACAGACTGGTACAATGATTTTGCTACAAAAATATATTGCTGGTATATCTATGTATTTTAGCTGAAAACATCAGCTCTTCTCTTTGATAATGTTTTGGAAATACTATTTATCTTGTCTGTGATAAAAAAAAAAATAGTTCCAATTATTAATGTAATGTTATGATTGGCCATAATCTTTGTAAAAATTATTGTAATGAGCAGAACACAAGATACATTCCAGTTCAGATAGCATGTATAAAATTATTTTTGTTGAAGTGTTTTTGAAATATAACTTTACTTAATAATAATAATAATAATAATGTATTATATGTATCTTGCAAATTTTGAATTTTTATTTTTTAATAATTTCTATAGGAGTGTTGTTTCATGGAATGCAGTTTTTTATACCTAATAGATGGGTGTATATTCTGTTTTGAAGTTCCCTAACATTCTCTGCAATTTTTTACAATCTACAAGAAATGACAAGCAATATGACTAAGCACAGCAAATATTGTTTTAGTGTTTGTGTTTTCATTCCTCTCTACCCTGAAGACTAAATGTCAATCCTACGAGCTCAGTAACTTACAAGAAATTATTATATGCCAAATCATTTTATAATTTAATAGTAATTTTCACTATAAGCAGCCAAACAATGTAAAATATTGGGCAACACTCAGAAAAGAAAATCCTACATCCCAAGCGATTTGAAATAATTTATACTTGACAGTGTCAGCATTAGAAATTAAAGGTCATTAGGCATTCCTGAAAAGCTTTCTTTAAATTATGAATTTAAATATCGTGCATTGTGCCAGCACAACCAACATAAAAAGCTCTGTATATGCTTTATTCGAAACCGAGTAAAAATTGAAAACACCTTCCAGAAGCCGCTTTTTCTCCTTCTCTCGACCAGTCTTCACTCAAAGAGTATGGACCATGGACTCAACTGCAATTTCAATGACAGAAAATACGTCAGTGTGCATAAGGTGTTGCCAACTATCTCCGGCGAGAGAAAAATATCCGTAATAGGAGTTGTAAGTAACATTCCTGTTGTCAAAGGATTACTTTATTACCGCATACAACTCGCATTTGATATAAAAAAATCAAAGAAACTACTAGTTTTTTTAAAATAATATTTATCCTGAGTATATGATTGGGAGTAGGCTATACTTTACAGAATTAGTATATCAATTTATTTTCGTAATATTAAATTGTTATATTTAAGTAAAAATTGGGATTTTCAAATCTAATGATACATGTATTCCGAAGCTTGAGAGGATTGTACAGAGTGTGTAGTTTTATTTTAGCCTCGCGAAAGACGCAAAGGTTTTGTTTAAAAAAAAAATATAACATGAATTCACAACGAATTAATGTAATTTAATTATCTGATTAGTACACGACAAGCTTTTCATTTTTTTAAATAATAATCATTTAAGAGCAAATAGTTTCCTGCCGCGAACAGATGAGACTGCACTGCCCGCTAGCGACCGCGAGTGCAAATTGATGTCAGTTGGTTGGTGCTATACTCTACGGTGAGGAGGCGACAGCCTGTAGGGTGACATAGTATATAGTTAATTTTGTACGAAGTTTTAATTTGTTTGTGGATAAAGATGTGTTCACAGTAAAAATGGAAGTCACGAGATCGTTAAATTCTTAACATAACAGCACTAACATCAATTCTTGTGGGTGCACTAACCGAGAACACGATCTCCTTTCTGTGCAGTGCGGCCCCAACATGGCCTCATCGAATAAGGGTATAGGTCTTCAAATAGGCTCAGCGTGGTTTCAACGCAAAATTAACCTTAGGCCACAACATAGAGGGGTACATTTAGTAACAGAAGAAATTCTTAGGCAAATGCCTGAAATATGTCAATTTTCTGTTGGACTGTTTCACGTTCAAAGTAAGTAGAAGTGATCACGTCGTGAGGGTACTTTCTGCAAATACAAATGCATCTATGAATATTTCTGTTGAGTGTGAATGTAATTGATATTGTTGTTATTTGTCATAACCACCAAGTATTTTCAATGTTGAATAATACGCGTTTGATGCTGCTGTGTGAAGCCGGATAATGACTAATGCCTACTCCTGTCAAACATAGGTTATGAATAAAATGTCTTTTAAGTTCAGGTTTTTGATGCTGGCGTACCACTAGTGTCTCAGAAGAAATTATTTTAAATTGCTTTTGTATGGTTTTAATGATATTTATTGTGAATAGTTTGTGACATTCCAGTATACTTTCGTATTATGAATAGCTCATAACTATCAAGAAAAATAAGTAATTTCTTTCACATTATTGTCTGTTGAAAAATTATTTAGGCAAGAGTTCAAAGCCAAAATCATTGACATTTTCTAAAGAATATCTTAATGTTCCTTATTAATCGATATATGCATAGGTGAAAGCTAATAAGCTGTTCCCGGTATCACTGAATTTTATAATTTTGGAGTATTCAGAACGATAATTGTTTCGTCTAAAAAGTAGTTTGCAGTTAGATTGATGTTCTTTGAGGCTCCCTTCACTAACCCTTTTCTGAATTTTGTTTCCAGTTCTTCACACTTCCGCAAGCTTAGCTCTCAACGAGAGCTGGGATCCTGATGTCAGGTAATTGTGTACATATTCAGATTATGAAAAATAAAAGAGGAAATGTTAACAATATGTGTAGTACTTGGCTAATAATTTTAAACATACATACTTAAATTGAGTTCATGCCAAAAATTGGAATTCTAGTGTTGTCAGTGATATGTGCCTCTTATTTTGAGTATGGCTGTTTAAAATAAATAGCTAAGTATTTCATATTCATTTACTTCATCTCCATTATATAAGTGACAGTATTAAAATTTATCTGGAAGGGTCCCCTCAGTTTGTCCAGGAATATTTTCTAAGTTCATTGGCAAAGACAGTTATAGCTAAAAGTGTACACATAGATATGTTTTTGTAGGTGTAAGGAAGCCCCTTACGGAAGTGTGTCAGACCTATTGAAAAGAGACAATTTTTAAGAATTGCTAGGATTTGAAGGGGTCCTTCAGTTTAATCTGTCTTCTGTTCCTTTTTGGTCTTTTGCAGTTCTGGGAAGTGAAATTGTAAACAGATAATTATTTAATTTTTGTCTATTGAAGCGAATTTCAATCTGGATAATTCAATTCTTGCCTATTTTTTAGAATTTATGAAAAAGTAGGATAGATCATTAGATACACTTACTTGTGAGGAAGATGGATGTGTAATAGTTTGCACAGTGTGTTATGAATGGTGTTAAGTCTGTGGATATAAGGTGGAATTTAGTGAGATGTCAATATAGTAGCATAAAAAATGTGCATGGAATGGAAGTTCCTGAAGCTATCGTTCTTAATGTCCAGACTTTTATTTGTTGGTTTTTTCTGTAAAGAGATGAAAGTAGTTCAAAATAAGCAAAAGTAGTAAAATAGTTGGGAAAGGTCATGGTAGATATGTTATGGGACATTGAATAATATTATGACTATGGTAGTATGCAGAAGGAATATTTTTCTATTTCTTAATTGTAGGTGGTACTTCAGTCATTCTTTTTTCATCAATTGTGTGTGGAGTACCTGCATAATAGTTATGTTAGATCTTCAATTATTTTGTAATAAAATCAATGTGGCACGTTAATCAAAATTCTTTATTTTCCAAAGGAAGATTAAGCCATGTAAATTGAGTGGTGCATTGCATGGTGAATTAAGCAATTATGCTATTACATGAGTGATATGGTTTACACAATTGACGATTGTTTTTTATGAACCTAAGTAATCTCAATATCTTTGTTACATTGATTACAAGAAACCTTGATATCTTATATTTGACCTTCAGATTTTATGTCTCAATTAAATACTTTTTTTCACTTTCTAACAGTTCTTTACAGTATTCCTTTGGAGCTCAAGCATACTTTTAATTTTGAATTGTGCAAGTTATAGTATTAATTTGTACTTGGAAAACAGAACACATCTTTGAAAGTTCTGCATTTCTTTGAGGAGCATATTCTTTTATTGTATACTTGCACACTATAGATAGTCACTTGACACCTTGTCCAGTTGTTTGAAGGTGTTAATGTCTTTAACCATTTGCACTCCAATTTCTTTGGGCTGTTTTTTCTGAACTGCTTTAAATCTATAACCACCACTGTGTGCCTGAATTGTATTGTGAGTTTCTAAGTTTTGGGGCCCAAAAGAAGAGGTGTTTTGGTAAAGAAACAAAGAAAACCTGTTTGATTCATTTCATGACATTATTAACAAAGTTAATTATGTAATAAAAGTAATTGCCTGACTTACTGAAATGACACAGCAATAAACATGATAGACCTGCATTGTTTTCATGCAATGTTCTGTTGGTTGATGTCTTACGTATGCAACAAACATGGAGGAGCTGAGAATTGAACATTTTTCCTTTTGCCTCTTTGGTGATGTAGTCACTGAGCTAGCATTACTAGATAAAGAATGCATCCATGTAGTTTGTATAAACTTAATTTTAACTAATAACAGTTTAATGAATTGTGGGACAATTGTAAATTGTGACAACAGTGAACATGGTAGACTTACGCTGATTGTTTACCTTACAGTCATGTGCGTTTGTTACTGAGTCACTCATATGAGGCTGATATTGTAGATCTTGCAAGCTTTGAAACCTTTCCCAGGGTGGGTACTTTTGAGGAAAGAAAGAAAGAAAGGGGGGAAAAAACACCACCACCACCACCTCCAATAATAACAACAACAACAACTTGAAAAATCAGGGAATTTAATTGTTTGGCAAAAGTCTTGGAAAAATCAGTGAATTTGTAGAAAAATCAGTAGAAGTTGGGGAGAATAGTTATAAAAGGGAAAGTTACAAAACTAGATATTATTCCTAAAAAATGTAGTCCAGCAAATGTAGTTTGCTCATTTCTATTAGGTGAATTCTTGTCCTTTGTAAACAAATGACAAAAGGTTTGTCATTTGTGCTTTCAGAGGAAAACTTAACTAATGTGTTGTGTATCCATCTGATGATGCATAAAATCCTACCCACAAAACGTGAATGCAAAATAAACTTTTTTGGTGAATTACCTTATTGTCAAAAATATAAAAATATTTGTTTTATTGTTTATAGCAATAATTACAATAATAATAGTAACAATGTCTAATTAATATTATCTACATTACAACATACTGAATTTTTCAGCAGGATAGTTAAAAATTTTGGTAAGCATACATTAAAGCAAATAACTGAAAATATTCAGTAGTGCCTTTGGTATCTGCAGCCTATCAAAACTAGATACATTAGTTTAGTTAAACTTCTTTTAATCATTCCATCTCCTGAATTTTCAAATTTTATTTCTGTTTTGTCAGCTTCCAATGTCTGCAAAATTGAAGAGTGTGTCATATTTGCAGAGAATTGTTGAGTCTGTAAAAAATATCTTGAGCTGCATTGATTTAAAGTTGTTAATGATGCAGGTTGCCTTTGGGATTTCCTTCTTTGTTTGCAATTACCAATCTTAAGACTTGTGGATATTCAGTTGTTTGTAAGAAAATAAATTTCCTATTAATTCATACTTGATTTCCAACACTGTTAGTCTTTCAGTGAAATCTTCTGATCCTATTCTGTGATGACATTTCATTAATTGTTTGAATCATGTGTGCAAATATTTGCGTGCTTTTTGGATTTCCCGGAACATTGGTGAATGGCAATATACTAAACAGAGATTGCGATTCTTTGCTGTGTATGAGAGTGAGTGAGTGGATTGACGCATATGAGTGAATGCAGACATTCTCATTTAAAATGTAATGTAAAACTAGCATCAAATTTCAAAAATGATGTAACATCTAACGCTTTTACTGTGAAAGTATTTTGCACTCAAAGATAATGATTGACGTAGGGGTTTCAGGTTTGGTCTTCTGTGAAATAATTATAAACGTTGTCATTGCCAACAATAGTATTTAATATAAAAGCAGCTTTCAATGGCTTAGCCATCATCAGTTGTCTGCTGAATGGAAGCCACAAAACGACTACCTATCCATGTCGATCCAACTGATGATGATGGCTAAGCCATCGAAAGCTGCTCTTATATTAAATACTATTGTTGGCAATGACA